CTGGGTAAATAACTGTAACCTTGTCTTCGTGGTACACAGATCTTTCACAGAAACTAGTCCAAAGCAACAAAAGGAGGACAGACACATCATTACATATATTTCTTTCTCCCCTCATGCAGACAGCATAAGAGTAAACACACAAAAAATTTAAAACCCCTACTGGAGGGCACTCAGGTACTGATGTTAAAAGTTTGTCAGAGAATCTGTACTGAATAGCTGCAACATAGGTCCTCCAGAATTACCAAACCATGTTCCTCCTGCTTCTTCCATTCAACTGGTATAGGAAAGCAGCAGCTGCAACATTTCACATTTTTGAAGTTATTTATTTACTGTATTGTCTGTACATAAAAGCGCTACTCAGCAAGTTGGTCACACAACACTAAGCACTGGGCAAAGACTGCAGATGTAGTGTTGAACCCCAAGATCTGTAGCCTGACTTACACTGAGATCCTTTAATTTCATTACCCTTCCTCAAGATAAAGTATCTTTACTGTGAAGTAAAATCAGGCATTTTGCAGTCTGGAATTAAATCTAATTATTGACTAACAGTTAAAAGCAGTGAGCACTTCAGCAGGTATCTCCTTTGGGAGCAAAGACGCTGGTGATTCCCTGGGAGGCTTCTACACCGTGGTCAAAACTGAGCAGGTGCTCTGCAAGGTACTGGTGGGTGGCAGGTACACCTGCACTAATGGAGGCACTGAAACTGCTGGATGATACATGGCTTTCAACTCTTGGAAATGTCTTAGAAAAATCATACAAAGGAAACAACGGATGAGGACCATGAGATGCTCTCCAGAAAAATATGATCAAATGAAAGCACAGTTGCATGAGTAATCTATACGTTTGATCTTATTCTGACTGCAGTTGGGCAAACATGCTTTTCCTAAGGATCTATTTACTGGATGCTATCAGAAACAGGAGGCAATGCTAAGCTGAGCTTTTGGTCAACCCAATATGGCAACGCTTACATTCTCTTACAAGATCTGAACAGCCAATATACCCTATCACTAGCTTTAATAATCAGAAACTATAATATTGGGCTCTACAGAAATACTTGAGTGACATAAATAATGCTGTTATGCAGGGGTATGAGTTAATTATTGGCACCATAGTAAAACCACCATGCTGCTGCTATCTCAGTTCTTTCTGCAGTAACTTATGCACTTTCTAGCAGTGGCAACCTACAATGACAGATGAGGAAGAAAGACCTGAAATTAAATTCAAAGAAAAAATAAATAAGCTACGAAAGCTAGAGTATTTATACTTGTCCAGTACTATATTGTCTTCATTTCTTCTCCCTTGCCACATTTCCACTGACATGAGGAGGTAATTTACAATGTCAAGGAAATCCATGACTGTCTGTGCTGAATTACTGCATTCATATTTCTACTTGTTTGCAGCAAACTAAAGTCATAATAAGCCCAGCTATGTAGATGAGTCATACAGGCCATCTTTCATTTAACAAGGCATCTTTAAATACCACTCTTAGTTAACTTGTACTCATTACCATCAACAAGCAATGTTTATGCCATACTATCCTAATTGCCAGAAACTTGCACAAGTAAATCATTAAAAGGTTAAGTTATTTTTCATGCTAAATATAATGTACAGTATTAATCTGCTTTATTTTGTTATTATGAGTAATGCTATGTCCTATAGTTGTGTCAATTTATAATTATGCCAGATCACATGGCAGGGGGGAAACAAGAACAACAAACAACAGACGGATGTCATTTCTGCATAAATTCTCCATGTAAGTTACAAATTCTTGTGAAGTTAGACTGGGCTTTCTTCACACAGCACAACATCCAGATGGAATCGCATCAACAGAGCAAAAATTGAGACACATCTTTGTCTCAATTTTTTTAAAAGCAGAGTAACCACATATTTTTCAAACAACACCCAGCCTGCTTTGTATTCCCCTATTTGATCTTTAAGCCTGCTTTTTGATATTACATCTGAATATAAATCCTAGAGACAACAGTGAAATGCAGACATTTTGGCAAAAGATGAGATGTGCATGAGACAATTTCACGTGTTGCTGACAACAGCACCGTAGGATGGAGCTTATTTTCTGACATGGAAATCTAAAGAGGTGATGATACATTCTCATGAGTGGTGTGCACTAGGCATAGAGCATCCCTCCAGCTCCTCCAAAATGCACTTCTGTACATGAGAAGCATCCCTTTCCTGTGCTACATACTCCAGAACATTCCATTCTAGTATACTCCTGCTG